TCTCCGATTAACGTGATCCTCCGATTAAATTCACTCTGCATCTCTTTATAACTGTCCCCTTAGAAAGAGACGAAGAGTGAGTTTAATCGAAGGATCACGTTAATCGGAGACTGTGATATCGGCCCATATTGTTCATATTTTTTTATACAAAATGCGCGATAAATTTTTCTGTGCTTTATGTGGTTATATAAGTTCATATGAATACGCCCTTATACTTTACTGGATAATTAATTCCGTTAATTGGCTTAAGTATGCGCAAGCGCGCAATCAAAATATGTAAGACCGTGGTACCGATCACCAATTCTGCGGTCCGATTCATGCTCACAGCGCTGAAAGCATATTGCTCTATCTTCGGTTGATATTCGATGTGCAACAAAGACAGAATGATGCTTACAGCGCTGTGAGTGTGAATCGGACCGCAGCTCTGGCTTCAGCTTTTAATATGGCGGAATCCACGGAAACGATAATCGCCCGCGCTTTTTCGCGCGACCGTGATTTTTTGACACAACAGTGTATAGATAGTGTAAAAATCTTGGTAAGTATGAGGTTAAAACTGCATTAATTAATTAATAGTGTTTCTGACTTGTTGACTTGCTCCGACTTGGGTTCAAAAGTTCGGAAAAATGATAATGAAATACTTATATGCTGCGATAATGCTAAGAATTTCTTTCATGGAGGTTAAGAAACGCTTTCTGCCTTCATAGTTTAAAGTCATCGAGTTTTAACCCAAACTTTTGATCTGATCCGAGTCGGGTCGAGTCAACAAATCAAAAACGCTATAAGTGAAAAGTTATTTTGCGGTAAAAAATCAATTGTGAAGTTAAATTTGTCTTATTGTTTCTATGCAGTGAATGTGAACATAAAGGACACACCCCACGACGTACTGGCGACGTACTCGTTTTACACTACATTGTTTCTATATTTGGCAGTGAGTTTAATTTATTTTATGCAATACCATGGCTGCGTTCCGATATTCACTGCCAATAATAAAAATCTATAGTTTATGTTACGCACACTATAAATTTTCGGTACTGGCAGTGAATATCGGAAAGCGGCCTATGTTTCTCATGTCTTTTTACAACATCTGTTAGGCAATTATGATAATGAGAAGAAACAAAAAACTTATTCGCACCGCTTTTCTGAATCATTAGAAGCTTAGACATTTTGAGTGCAAATTTACATCGCATTTTATTGTCTCCTAATAATTACAGTTTTCTTCTGTAGTTTTCTTCAGATTACAATATTTAATTTTGCATTAAATTGAATATTTATTACATACCGGTTTATTATCTTTTTTCTATATAGTAATTGTAATGGTAAATCTTAATATAAGATTAATGTAAATAATTTAATTTTTGGATTAGTTTGTATTTAACATAACTGCAGATCTTTCCCTTAAGAACCTCTTTTATTTATCAAAATATTTTTTATTCTCCAGATAATAAATATATATTCCAGCTTTCCTAAATACATATTCAGCGGAAAAGGAGAATATAACCATAACATAAGCCTAAACGCAAACCCAAATCTTCGTGCATATAATCGCAATCTAGCTTTCCATTTCTTCGTGTTATTTCATAAAATTATATTATGTCTAAATCAAAATTAAGATTAGACATTACTTGTTTAACGCCAAGACAGCGGAGACGAATTTTTGTAAAGGAACTCTATAATGTTTCCCAAATGACTGTTGACTCAAATAGTTCAGAAGTTCAAAATGACATTGTAAGTGGATCAAATGGACCAGATAACATTGAACAATTACCTCAGCAGCAAAATTTATCAAGAAAAATTGATTTTGATAATTCCAATGGAATTAACACTGATAAGTTTATTGAAAACAATGATGATTTAATGTCTATACATTCAGGAATTAATACTGATAAAGATAGTCTTCCATCAAGTAGTTCAGACGATGAGTTTTTTAATAAAACAGAAATTGTAAATGACATCCGATTATGGGCTATTGAAAATCGTGTAAATCATTCTACTATAAGTAGTTTATTAAAAGTTCTAGTAAAATACGGCCATGATCTTCCTATTGATGCTCGAACTTTGTTACAAACTCCCAGACAAGTAGACATTATTGAAATGACACCAGGAAACTATTATCATGTAGGTTTAAGTAATAGTTTAAAAAAATCTATTTGCAAACATTATTGCCGAAATACTTGTCCATCGCAAATAAATATTAATGTGAATATAGATGGTCTTCCTTTAACAAAATCTTCTGGCAGTCAATTTTGGCCTATTTTAGCTAGTATAGTTGCAGATTTTTACACCGAACCATTTATAGTCGGTGTCTATCATGGTTTTCAAAAGCCAAAATGTTGCAATACTTTTCTGAAATATTTCAAGGATGATTGTCTTGAAATTTTTCGAACTGGTATTACACAGTATGACAAAAAAATAACCGTAAAAGTGAACGTATTTATCTGCGATGCTCCCGCAAAATCGTTTATCAAAGGAATTAAGGGACATAATGCGTATTTTGGATGCGGTAATTGCATTCAAGAGGGAGATTACATAGAAAATAGAGTAACGTACCCAGAAATTAAAGCAATCCTAAGATCAGATGAATCGTTTAAATTAAAACAACAAGAAGAACATCATAAAATGACTTCTATTCTTGAAGATTTAAACATTGGAATGGTTACCCAATTTCCTATAGACTACATGCATCTTGTACTGTTAGGAATAATGAAACGGTTGTTGCAGTTTTGGATTAAAGGTAAACATAATGTTCGTATGGCTGCAAATCTGATAGCTCTTATTTCAACTACTTTGTTATCCATGTCATTATTCTTACCTAAAGAATTTGCTAGAAAGCCAAGAAAACTAGATGAGGTCGATCGGTTTAAAGCCACTGAATTAAGGCAATTATTATTATATACTGGACCAGTAATTTTTTTTAAGACATTATCACGCGATAAATACGTTCATTTTTTAAGCTTGAGTGTAGCAATTAGAATCTTATGTAGCAAAGAATATTGCGTACAACTGCTTGATTATGCACACAGTTTACTAGTATATTTTGTTGAAAATTACGGTACATTATATGGTCATCAACATATATCATATAACGTGCATAATTTAGTTCATCTATGCGACTATGTAAAATTATGGGGGCCATTAGATGAATTTAGCGCGTTTAAGTTCGAAAATTACATGCAAAAAATTAAATCAAAAGTTAGATCTTCAAGTCGACCATTACAACAATTAGTTAATCGTTGTATAGAAGAGGATAATTTAAATATGACAAATGTACAAAAGATTTATCCAAAATTGTGCTTTAAAAACGTCAATGGCAAAAAGATAATAAAATCGGTTCAATGCAAAGGTTTCTATCTTAGTACAAAAACTGCTGATAACTGTTGTTCTTTGTTAGATGGTACAACGATTTCACTTACAAAAATTTATTTAAGAAGTGAACAGATTTACGTTATTGGTAAAAAGTATTCGAATGTTAAATCATTTTTTCATAGTCCATGCGACTCTTTAAATATTGGAATTAAACAAATTAATGAGTTACAATATGAGCTAATTACTGTTCCATTATCTGATATTAAATCAAAATGCGTAAAATTACCTTTATATGACGAAGAAGTTGTGGTATTGCCTTTACTGCACCAACAGGAAATATGTTTATGGCGAGTACTAATATTGGTAAAAGAATTTAGAATTAAAAACGATGATAAATTATTTAACAAACTTTGCTTTTTTACAGATTATTAATAATGGCAAAAGATTTCGCTGTCGTGACTTTTTCAAGCGATGGAAATGATGAAGAGGAAATCGTATCAGAGGTTCCATCTTTATGGCTTCGCTCTAATTTGACAGAATGCTGGTGGCCATCAGTAAAAAATATAAATACATTTATCATAAAACAAGTTCCTCCTGTTATTAATGATCCTAAGTGGTCATTTTATCCCATTCAATTTCATGGATATTATGGTAATTTAGATTTTACTTCAAAATTTATGTAGTTGTTTTTAAATATTTTTAAAAAATAATGTAACTTGTGTAAATTGCGGTTTTGTCCCAATCAAGATTCATTAGATCAAGCTAGACAGAAGGCAACGAACTATTCGTCAAGCGATGATAATAATATAAATGAAATAAAGAAGAAGTCACGTACGTCATGCAGAAAACAGTTGCAAAAACCTATTGCTTCTGAGTCTGATACTGATTCTGATTTAGCATCAGTTATACCAAATCCGCCAAATCTTACAGATAAAAATGTCTCAGTTATACCAAATCAGTCAGCTCTTACAAATGAAGATGTCTCAGTTATACTAAACCAGCCAGATCTTACAAATAAAGATGTCTCAGTCAACAAACTCTCAAATGTTTTGAATTTTTCAACTGACAATGTGGATTTTGACATCCTTGAAGGAACTTTAGTATCGAACAAAAGTAATAGTTCATTTTAGTTTATTTATTCTATTTACTTGTATTATCTCTATAATAAAGCATTTTTTATTAAAAATTATAGTTCTTATTAATGGTTATTGTGATTATTCTAATACCTCTTTTATGTTTCTAGGCATACAGGAATTACATAACTTAATGATAGAAATGTCCAATAAAATGGAAGGTATGGTGTTTATTGTTTGCCTTATAATCTTATTATCTCACTGTTTACTCAATATTACTTATAATTTTTTAGAAAATTTCCAAAGAGTATATACGGCTCTAGCTAATGTTTCAGTACGAATACAAGATCTGGAGGCTCGTTTAAAAGAAGTAGAAAAACAAATTAATCAACATAAGCCTGAAGCACCTGCTGATTTGGGTATATTAAATATGCAACAATCTCTTCCGCTTAAAAGTATTGATGAAGTCACAGCTTTTGAAAACCGTTTATCACAAAATGCAGATGAGTACAACAAATTTGTAAGTTTAATTAGGAATTTAGTTACTTAAATGTAATTTTTATCTAAATAAAATGATAGAAATTATATTAACGTTACGTTATATATTTCTAAAGATGCTGTGCATATCTCGCATAGGCGGAAGATCCGCTAAGGAAAATTTAATTCGTATATATCGAACTATATTTTCCAATGAAGTTGCTAAACAATCGTCCTGGAAAGGATTACGTAATCATTTTAAAATCAGTAGCTTAAACTCTATTTTAATGGCAATACAAGGTAAAATATATATTTTTTTATATTTACAAAGTAAAATATATTTTTATATTTACAAAATATAAAATTTAATTTACATTTAATTCATTCAGCAACAATTTTGGCTCAACATCAATTCACAAACAAAGAGTTTGAAGATATCACAAAAGAATGGTTTCGCCAAGGTGGTCAAAGGCTTAACAGACAACAAAAAGATCCCGAAGAGATGAATCCGCAAGCCATTTAAATGCCTCAGAAGTTTTGAAGCTCATAATATAGTATTTTTTTATTATATTTTTTTCTTATATTACCCAACCTATGTAAGATTCTTGATTAACATGATAAACAAAATTATTTTTCTTTAATCAATATGTTTTCTGATATTGAATAATTTTAAATACTAAAGTTTTTAAAGATTTTTATGTTCTAAAATCATAGAATCTTCATTATTTTTTTTTATTACGATCTGAATTCTCAACGTTGTCACTTATGTTAAGTAATTTCTTTTATGTAAGAGAATTAATATACATTTCTAATTCCTAATATATTTCTAATATTAATATATGGAAGTTAATTAGTTATAAAACTGTAATTTGTTTAGCAATTTATCAAAATAAAGAGTTCAAGAAACATACTTTCTATTGAATTTTATGTACATAAGTTCCATATCTTTGTATATAAACAAATTTTTTAAATACAAGTAACATGTATATTAACTATCTTAGTTGTTATCAGTAGAAAACGTAAACTACTAGTGATTTTACGCTGCAAAAATTAGTGTATATTCACTAAAAGTCAGTAAAAGTACATGGTCGTGTTATAATGATCAAAACAAGCTGCGGTACGATGAAGAGACAAACATCCCACGCTGTTCTGATAAGCACTCGCTGTTCTATATAGTAAGTACA